CCCCCCCCAGTAGGCCCCCAACAATCACATGAGACTTCAGGAATGTGCCATACAAAATCAATGAGTTAAACGATATACCACACAGAACTGATCTGTTAAATATCACCCCTCCCTTGCTCTCAGCCTCCAGCAAACTCCCTCAGAGTAGTACAGGCAAGGAAGACCTAACTATTGGGAGGAATCCCTAACACTTTTCCAGGGCAGAATTCTGGCTAGTCCAAAAAGGGTCCTTCTTTTAAGGGTTTTGGGGAAACTAGACGTTGAAATTTTTATTAGTATCAGTGACGTTTGTTTGGAGCAAATTCAGCTCCAGGAGCTGCACGGTTGAATGCAGGAGGGGTTCCACCAAGTGCCCCAATTCCTTGCATTGTAGCAGCTTGGCCAAAGCGTTCAGTTGTTGATGGGGTCAATATCAAGGTTCCATCTGGCATCATAGTGGCAGGTCCTGGAGGAGCTGGGGTACCTGCTGGCACTGGAGCAGGGGGCATGGCGCCTCTGTTGTTGATGCCCGTAGCACCTCCCATAGCCATCTGGCCCATCCGTATCTCCTGTTCTCTCGCATCAGGGAATGTTCCCTTGAATCCTTCCTGCTGTCGCCACATCATTTCTTCCTGTTGCCGCCGCATCTCTTCCTCACGGCGCCTGCGTTCCTCCTTCTGCCTGAGCTCCAGTTGCTTTCGTTTTTGCACTTCTTGGTTGTGCAGCTCTTCCATCCTCCAAAGTTCTTCTTGACGCCTCATCAAATCCTGTCTCATTAGCATGACCTGGTGCTCATGGCGAGTGGCCTCCATCTCCATCTGCAGCTTCTCACGAGCTTCCTTGATGTTGTGGTCCACTTGGTCCTGCTGCTCCTTCTCCATCTCCGTGAGTGCCTTCCAGCGCATGGCATACTCATACTCAAAGGAGCCAGGCTGTGCAAATCTGGGTGGCTGCTCTCGCTCCTTGTGAAATTGCTGGTTCTTTATAACCAGCTTCTCTGGAAGTCCCTCTTCATCATCCAACTGGTCCATGGGCTCCACAGTCGCAGGCCAAGGAAATGTGGTTAGCAGGAAGGAGCCTTCACTGCACCTGTCCAGAGCTTTCCGAGCAGCTGGCTTCCCTGAGAATTCAACAATACCTTTTCCTGAGGGCCTTCCTCTATCATCCACGATGACTACAGCCCTTTCCACCTGGCCAAACACCGAAAAGGCTTCCTCCAGCAGTTCATTGGAAACATACTGAGGAAGGTTTCGGACTGTAAGGGATGCACTCTGGCAGGCAAAGCGCACACGCAGCTGCTTTCCACGGAGTGGCATGTTGTCCAGTTCTACTTTGGCAATCTCTGCTAGGGTTCGTGTTTCCAAGCAGATAAAGCCAAAGCCCTTATCCT